ACTCCCGCTTTGAATACCGCATGGCCCAAAAGTAAAGCCATGCGGCGATGAAAGCGACCTCACTGAAATGGGCAACCCGCCAGCAAAAATCTGAGTCTTCTCAACCTCCAACCCTCCACATACTTCTTGTGCAGCCAATGAAGCAGATCCCATCGCCGAGACAAAGATTTGGCTAGCAAGGACCCACAAACAACACGCATACTTCTGACTCAAAAAAACATAACAATCACAGCTTGACAACAAGACGCAGAAGCGTTGACTAAACATATTGTGTATACATCGATCGTTTGCTAGCCAAAAAATGGACATCTAGCTTAAACCCGAAACCCTAACCCCCCCNNCCCCCCCCCCCCCGCTCCCCCCCAAAAAAAAAACAAAAAAACGAGCCCCGAGGCCCCAACCTTGGAGCTCACCAAGCACCACTGGGAGCCATCCCCGGGGCTGATCTCTGCGTGTGACTGTGGTTGGGCTCTTGGCACTTGGGCTGGGCTGTTTAGTATCATGTAGTTATATATGGGACTATAAGGGAAGAACCTTGATGTTAGATTATTTTTCTATGCCTTGATATCTTTGCTTGCTTTTTTGGGGAAGCTTGGGGTGCTCAGTGCTCGGGTAAAGGCTGGAGATCTGGCTTGGAGTTGTGCACTGGGCATGGTTGGGCTTTAGAGTTGAAGCTTTAAAGAAGTCGGCTGCTGGGTCATGGTTGCGTGTCCCCCAGACCACCCGGGGATGCTCAAACGAATGCACTTGGCGGCAGAGGGCATGAAGAAAGTCTTGCACCCGACCTTCGCTGATGACAACCAGGTCTCGGCTAAAAGACATGATCACGAAAGCGCTGGCGACATCACCATGAAGCAGAGCACGATGCCATGATCCTTTTCTGCTTCCACCGACTCTTCTCTTCATGCCGACGATTGTCGCAGCACCTCTGTGCACTACGTGCTCGCGTGCCACATCCGCTGCACCCAGACCCCGTCTCGCCCGCCTTACGATCCCAGGCCAAGTGTACTGATCCAGCGCACGGCTCCAGAACCCTGCGATGGAAGCTCTTCAAACTGAACAAGCATTGTTGGAGGCTGACAGTCTCTAACCGAGCCTGCACCACTTCCTCGCCTGACTCCTGGTCTTGATCCAACAACAGCCCCGGATGCCCGCACGAAAACAGCAACTCTAGCCTCACGCAGTTGGAGTAGCTGTGAATAATAAGCACGGGACATACACGCACCCCTGGTAAGTTTCGAGATCCGTTCTGTTCAGCCGTCGGCTACTTGTGCAAAGGTCATGCTGGCATCTGTTTGAGCTCGCTCCTTGCCCACATGCCGCTTTGGCACTGTCGTTTTGCTGCGAATTTTGGCACCCTCCAGTCGCAGTCTCGAAGGCCCGCCGAACATCCCTTGCTCTTTGAATATACTTTACATGTAAATCGTACAAGTACCAAAGGAGGATTCGCGTCTATGGCATGTCCGTCACTTGATAGGCCAATGGCATTGGCACAGGGCCCTTTCGGTTTCCCAAGGGATTCCGGTTCACTTGCGCGAATCATCTCTTCCAAGCGTAGCATGTGGATTTGGACCCCGCAGATGTGCGGCAAAATCGTCAGCTTTAATGCGCTTTCCATGCCCAAGAAATTACGAAGAATCTTCTCATGCAGCGCCGCTCCTTCTTGAGCTTCTCGCGAGTGCCAGCATCTGGACCTTCAGGGGTGTGGCGGATGCTTATGGGTCCTTGAGCCAAAGCCTTCATAATATCAGCACAGCGATTACTACTTATGATTATTAACTACCAGTTACTACCACCGTAAAGAATACCCAAAGCCGAGAGAAAGGGCCTTGGTTTTCGGGGCCTGGGGAGTGACTCGTTGTATCTCACCAACATGCAGCCATACTTGAGGCACACATGTCACATGCTGCCGGAATTCCAGTAAAGTTTCCTACTGTTCCTGGGCGTCGCACAAGATACTACTTTGGCATAGTTTATGTTTGGCCTCTTTTGGCTGAATGCCGTGACTTCAGACTTCCCGTTCAGTCGAGAAAGATGCGCCGCGTGCTCCTAAAGGCAGATAGAGTACTCACCAAAGGACCCTAACCAACTATCTCAATGGAGGATCTGGTTTTGCCAATGTGGCTGCCGGCGGCACGGATAGAATATGCCTGGGCTCTGCTTAGATGCGCTGCAGCGCAGATTTTGACTATAGGGTCGGGAAGAAACCCAACCCCACCCCCCCCCACCTCCCGCCGCCACAAAACGAAACATGTCCACTTCGGGAAGAGTGAACTAGGCACACTGTCGAGTAGATCTCGTGGTGCTGCTGTCGCTGTGGCGACCACAAGTATTCGTCTTATTTTCTTGTTCATCCTCGTCTTCAGCATTCGTAAGTCTTTGTATGACCATTGACCACTGTCTTTGTTACTGCGACTTTGCTTTGTAAGCGCGGATCAACCCCCAGGAAGCATCCGGTCATCCGTGCATAGAGACATTGCTGTGACACGTCGACCATTCCGGCCTGCAGCATCCTCCTTCACCAGAATAAATAGAGATCCATCGCCCCCTCGTGTGATCCGAAGAAAGTCGTCCAAGTAAGTTATGTCCTTGGTTCCGGAGGGGCACCCGATAACACCTCGACAGACAAACAAGTAACCGTAACCCCAATGCAACCAACCCAAAACCAGAAGCTTTAGGCCGCACACCAACCTTGCATCAGTGAGCCATACTAGATGCCGAGGAGTGGTCATTGGTCATCTTCGACGTCCAGCAAAGCTTAGACGTGCGTGTGTTGAACACCTTTTGACCTCTCGATTCATCCCCAACCAGTCTGGCAGGTAAACTGCTTTCTTCAGGAATGCCTACAAATGGGAAACACATGCCGCGCCATGCAGCGACTCGATTCATAATCTGCTAAAACACCTGCCTCAACAGTATCACGTACAACATAGACTGAGAGGGCGGGTGGGTCGCCACATGCCACGTGCCAGCCTCCGGCTCCAAAAGAGCACACAGGGGCTAGAAATTGGCGCACTGCCATAAAACGTAACTCGATTGCGTCGGCAATCTGTCTATGCATCTTCAAATGACTAGCTCCTCGATGGCTGGCACAGTGATCTCGAAGCGCTGCTCATCGTCGACCTGGACCACAAGCTGTTCAGGAGTCGCTGCGTTCCCGTTGCTCTATCGTGAAAAGCTCGGCTACACGGCTAGACTCGGATGCAGACACGTGAGGATATCGAACCTGGCGATGAGTCTGAGACTATGTCGGTAGTCCTCTCGATGGGATCTCATATTCGATGAGGGTCCCTCATTGGATCCCCAACCAGAGCACGTCAACTTGATGACCTCACTAAGGCCCCGGAAAGGACCCCTATCCGCAGGAAGCTACAGGTGCCCCATGTACCCCTGAGCAAACTGCGGGAAAGAGGCCTCTCCGCGAGAGAAGATGAGAGCGTGCTTTCCCGGGTACAGCTTTTGCTCGCCATCCTCGACGACAAAAGCTCGAAAAAGGCCTTAGTTTAGACTGTAATGTAGTTCTCTAAACGGAAAAACTCGGACGATCATATACATGAAGAGCCCTCGACCCCAGGCAACCCTGGCAAAAAAGATTATCTTAACAGGCCTTGTTGACCACCTCCAGGATGGACGTTGGGAGATCAAAGGAGACTGTTGCTTCTTCACCAGCCGGCACATGCAACCGCTGGAAGTGTCTTAGAGCACGCTTGGGAAGGGGGTGATCCACTTTGCCGATGTCCACTGCCGTGTGGTAAACCTGAATAACCTCATCACCACAAACTTTCCCAGTGTTGCTTAGTTTGCACTCGACAGCCAGCTTCCCAGTTGGCGCCTTCTTCTGTGCGCACTGCAGCTTGAAGGTGGTAAGGGACAGGCCATATCCGAAGGAGAACAGTGCCTGGCCCTGGTAGTACTTGTACGTGCGTCCTGGCGCCTTTGACATGTCGTAATTTGTCATGGGCTGTTCGGAGATGTACTTGTGTGGATACATTGTGACTGGCAGCTTGCCCCAGCGGTTCTCCTTGCCGAAGAAGCTTGCAGCCAGGGCCTCGGCACCCTTGTGGCTCGGAAAGAAAGCTTGCACAATGGCATAGGGGCTCCCCGCGCTCCGGCTCATGAGGGAATCTATGGCCATGGGCCCACCGCTGACAAGGACCAGGATGGTCGGCTTCTTCAAAGCCAGGACCTTGTGGGCAAAGCTCTCTTGCAAACCTGGGAGTGCCGTGTCCTCCCGGTCCTTCCCCTCGGTCTCGATCGTCCTGTCATCCCCAAGTGCCAGAACGACCACATCTGCGTTGCGAGCAGCTTCCAGGGCGGCTGGGATGCCGTCAGCCTTTGTGCTGTTGATCTCCACGCCCATGCTGGAAACCGTGCGTCCTCCCGCATTGGCCGTGCGCAAGCCCTCAGTGATCGTCGGGACGCAGGCATCCGTACCGTCAAAGCAGTGGCTGCCGGCAGCATAGTCTGAAAATAGCTGACTTCGGCTCATCGAGTGGGGCCCGACGACTGCTACTGAGGACCCCTGGCGAATCGGAAGGACCGGACCATCGTTCCTCAGTAGAACGAAACTCTGCAGAGCTGCTTCGTAGGATATTTGCTGGTGCAACGAGCTATTGATGTCCTGGAGTCCGTACCTTGGCTGCCGAGGGGAACTGAGAAACTCTGGCCTTCTTTTTATGAGGCAAGGTGGCACGGAGTTGGCTTAGTTGAACATCGTCGTAACTAGCTTCACTCACGGAAGTCAAGGGGCCGATGAAATTCCGTGCTGTTTGCCGGGTCGAACCTTCCAACTTCGAACTGCACTTGGAAGGACCGTCGAACAGCCTGACACGGGAGCAGGTCGACATGTTCAAAATCTCCAGTATCCAAGTTCGCCGTGATCTGCATGCTAGCATGTCTTGTGCCCCTCCGTGTACTTAGATAACGATGGCAGTAGAGTCTAAGTGTGTGCCTGTACCTCCCAGGCCCCTCTGCAACCGAACACGAACCTTCGAGGTAAGGATCTGAATTTGCTTCCTGCCGTTTCATGCGTGCCTCTGTCAGCCGTGCTTCAGTTGCCAGGCCCATGTCGATGGCCTGGGACAGGTTCGAGAAGAGGGTGTCGCCCATCCTCGGAGGGCACTTCGGGGAAACCCCAAAGTTGGGGAGGCATGCGCTACCGACATCGACCGACTGCACATACTGGTGCGGTGATACACTGAATAAAAAGCCCAGCTTCTCGAGGTCAGTTCCGTTCATCAGTGCCATCGCCGCGGCGTGAGCATCATCCGGCGCATTCACTGGGGGGCCCTTCCTTACGAAGCAGGCCCAGGATTTCAATTCAAAGCGGTAAGACCGGACTCAGCATCCCAAGCATAGGACACAGTTGGGCTCCACTTGACCCGCTTCAAGCAACTGCTCTTTGACTTTCCCTTGCAGCTGGGACTCCTTTGACACCACGTCATGACTTAAACCCCAAGCCCCGAACCCCAAGTACTGCAAAGCCTACAGCCTGGTCCGCGGACCCTGTAAAACTCTGATCGCTGACTCTGAGGCTCAAGTTGTTCACTGCACCGCAGTCCGTGGTGACATGGGCATCCTGAGCAGGCGCCCGAGACTCGAGCAAACACATGATCACGCCGTGCGACCGCGAATTGCAATTGAGGAGCCTTCAGTAGATACACTTAACAAATACACTTTGCGGCTTAAAGTTTGAAGACTTAATGTAAAGCTGCGCTGCGTATCATTAGTCGCTCTTGCTTAACTTTGGTCTTGTGCTAATGGCTCGTTAGCGGGGGCGCTACCGCATGCACGAGTAAAGAGAGTGAAGTCTCGCCACATGGTTTTTGCGAAGGCTGCCTTCGTGCAACTCGGGCTGCATCAAGGACCACCGGTTTGAAGGCTCATGACAGACGGACAGCATTTCCGTGGCCCCCCAACTGGATGTGTGGCTCAGTGTTTACCCCCCCCCCCCTGCAGCACAGTGGCTGGCTTCCAGCTGCGCAGCTGCTTGTTAAGGATGAAGTCGTTGGCGCAGGAAGGGCGCCCGTTCTCGGCATTGTAGGAGCACATCACGCCTTCACAGACCAGAAAGATTCCGAGGGCCAAAGCGTGAGCAGCATAGTGCTGACACAGAACCCCTCTTGGGAAGGCAGCAGGTCGCAGAATGGGCTCTGAGAGGTTCGGTTCCCCACCAACCGGCCTGGCCTGCTGGCTGCGCAGTGAAGGCCAGCTTGTACTGAGCGAGATAGGTATCGAAGAAATCGAAAGTAGAAATGTTGTACCTGCCAGGAGAAAGCTGCTTTTGTCCGTGTCCGGCTATCGCAGGTTAAAGTTGGCATCTCCTCCATAGTGGTGCCAGCAGCTCGGGACTCGTGGCCGCAGATGGACACTTGGGCATCAAGACTTCTCTCTCCTTCCCTCCTCGTGTCCTGCCCCAAGTCCTAAGGGGGAATCTGGATTGATCTCTCTGTCTCTGTCTCCCTGTGGCATACTTTCCACTTCTGAGGACGATCGCCGTTAAGACTGTGATACACATGTTATTGACATGTGCATATATATATATATATACATACATACATACATATATGAAGATAGATAGATAGATAGATAGATAGATATAGAAATAGACAGAAACAGAGACAGAGACACAGACAGAAACAGAGACAGAGACACAGACAGAGACAGATGTACATATATATATATATATATACATAATGTGTATATATATATATACTTATGTACATATACACACATACACACACACACATATATATATATATACACACACACTATACTCACACCACGTCATTCTTGGGAAATTGCCACAAATGCATGCTTGCCGCCCAAACACGTATCGTGACCTCTGTTCGCTTCCGTGGAGTAGGCGGTGTAGTGCTTCCTGCCAAGAAGCACTTCGGCAACGTAAAGTATTCTGCTTGCGGCGTGACTCTACTTCACTAGCGGTTGGGATTCGGAGATGTTGCAGTTTCGGCGCTCACTGCCACCTTCCCAGGCCACACCCTCAAAGGAGTGGGTATTCCAGGTCTAACAGAGGGTAGCTGGGAGTCTAGAAACCATCAAAAGCCTCACCCGTCACCCTGAAAGCAAAGCTCACAAACCAAAGACCGTTTGGAACAACATCGTTTGACTGTCGACATGCCACGAGGAACGAAAGACATGACGAGCGACGAAGCATGCACAAATCTCAACTGTGCATGGGCTTCAACGAGGAACCCTGAACCCCTAAGCAGTTCCTTTTCGGAATTAAGGCCAGGCAGCAGATAGGCCGCGATCTTCTTGTGCCCGGCAGCATCTTTCTCCTGCATCCCCTTCACCATGTTCATGGCGTACGTCCCACCTTGCGAGTGGAAGGAGGCCTGGTCGACATGATTAGACCAAGCATGTTGCGCAACCCAAACAGTGGTTACCAAACGTTGTGCATTGAGGCTTATGGCTCATGCTCCCATTCCGGTTGAAGCTCGGGAGGTCGGTGAGTGTTCGCACCTCCATCGTGGACTTTCACTCACAACTCGGGCAGGCCGGAGCTGTTTTTTTTTGCCTCCTGCATGGCTGAGCGAATCACTAAGGAAGGTTGCAAGCGCGACATCAGAAACTGTCTATTTTTTGCCCCCCTCTCGATTTGTGCGTGAAACTGTCTTTAGTTCCGCGGGTCTGCTACAGTGACCTTGACTCGTCGGGCCATCATGACCATCGAGGTAATCTGTAGTGTCCTAGCAGCAGTCGTTCTAACACCCATACCGTCGTTTCGGTGCCTTGCTCAATCTTGCTCATATAGCTGTAAAATAGAGCTGCGCCACCCAGTGTGCGCATTGCCAATGGCCAGTCAATCTTTGCTGAAATGCTCGTGCTATAAGTTTGGATTCGGTTCTTCCACAGAAGCGGCGCATCTATAATTAGTGTCAGTACTACTGGGTTGACGACGGAAGCACGGGATGTTCTCTCTATTGCACAGATTTCTCAACCAAGTCGCTCAAGAGCGGATCTTCGCCTGCAAGCTCGGAGGTTCGTCCGAAGCGAGGGTCTCGGGCGATGTTGACGTTCGGGCCGAAGCCCGTCAAGCACCTAAGATCAGAGGGCATTCAAGCATCGGTCCCGCTTGGACACCTTTGAAGGGGCTGAATTTGCGAAGCGTCGCCGCCCCCCCGCCCCCCCCGCCCCCCCCGCCCCCACCCATCGCGCGAGCCTGCGCCAGTCTTGAAGTTGGTGCGAGACCCATGTGGGAAAGGAACATACTGGGGGGTCTACTCACTACATCTTATACATCTTACTACTGTGCTTTGCAACCCGTTGCCCTCTGCCCTATCTACTACTAGGGACTGTGACCTCTCTTGGCTCTTTGTTTGACTTGACTTCTGTTTACTTCAATATTTTTGGTGTGCGGGGCGGAGGTGAACAAATTCTGTTCTTCCGTGCGCTTTCTGCAAGCTGGAGCATCTGTCGCATGCGTCTTTCTCTCCCTCTCTGGACCCGTGCGCACATGGGCTAAGCCACCTACAACCCACTCTGCAAGCCTCCTCGTGCAGAATGAACGTGTTGTCCATGGTTGAGGTAAAGCCAAAGCTGAAAACCTTTGACATGAATCCCGAGACCCGTTATGGCTCATAGAGCCCAGGTACACAGGATTCTTGTGATCCTGATGAAATCGCGAGGCGCCGTAGTTGGACAATGCACGCTGCTCTGTGCCCAAGACCTGACCAGAAGCGTGCTGGCGACAAATCAGTCGCTTGCCATACTTTCTGACTGGAAAATTCGCTACACCATTCGTCTGCACCGTCTCTGATCATGCATTCTACGGCTAGTTCTGCTAGTCTATGTTATGTTACTCAAGCATAAACCTGAACACCCTTCTGTTCCATCGTCCGGCTAACTTTTGTAAGACATTTTCGCGATCAAGGTTCGATCATTCCAGCGATCAACTCTGTTCACTACATTGCTTTGCTTTTGTTTGTCTCGGGCAATTGACTCTGCTCGGCAGTCTGTCATATTGAAACCGGTGATTTGAAGCTGAGACCGTCCCGGCGCTGAAGCCGCTCGGAAAAGTGCAGGTTCCATCACCACGAAAAGCCACTGTAATACGTGTGCATCAAAAACTAAAATTAATGAATACAGCGAGTTGGACGGTCAGAAATAGACAACTCCTCGTGGCCCAGCGTGCCTGGCCCTTGAGAAGCCAGGAGGACTCGTTGAAGGAGGCAGCTATGCCCATCGGTCCAACCTTCGTGAATGTCTCTGCGGGTTGTATCTTTATACTGCAGAATGCACACATGATCAAGCTGTTGGTGTACATTGACATTGCTCTGTATCCTAGTCATGAACAATACCGTGCTAGCCGTCTACCGTACTTGTGGCCAGCTTCACTGCCGGCACTCGTACCGTTGTCGGTGCTGTTATGTTGGTCAATATGGTTTTCCATTTTGTTCTAGCGGAGGTCATTGTCAGACATGGCTTGCCAGAGTGCCTTGTGAGATGCGGCGTTGCGGCTGGTATCTCCGAAGCTGGTTTGCAAACGGAACTTTGCACACAAGCTTCGCAGATACAGACTGCAGCCACTAGCTTGTGTGTCCGAAACAGCTGGAAATGGCACACCCGATGGAATGACCCATGAGTGGGAACGAGGTTCCGACACTTGTGTTTGTCTGCGTGTCTGTCTATGATGTCTATGCTTTTCTGATGTTCCAAGCCGGCCATGTGCAACGGCCACCGGTAAGCCTAAAGGATCCTGGCGGTCTCGCTTTGGCGTGAAACCTCCTCATCTGTAGTGACAGCCGGCTGATCGAAGAGTTAGGGCAACGAACGAGGCCCTGGAGCAATTCACACAAACTATGCGGCGGAGTTCGCTTGATTAGCTGACAGTCAAACACCCTTGAGAACCTGAGGGCTCTCAGCAATTGGCCAAGGAACGAAATTTGTCACGCAATGACCTTCAGCCGGACATGCTGCATCGACACCTGAACGCTGAGATTCGGCTCATGTCAAGCTGCTGACACCGCTACCATGCGACGTGCGGTTGTGAACGTAAGAATGGCTGCATGTGGGTGTAAAAAATTGTGTATGTATGTATGTATGTATGTATGTATGTATGTATATTATATATATATCTATCTATCTATCTATCTATCTATCTATCTATCTATCTCTCTGTCTATCTTTCTATCTGTCTGCCTATCTATCTATCTATCTATCATTATCTATCTATCTATCTATAGTACATTGCAACAGAACTTTGCAGGCATAAGGCCGGTGTTGGACTCGACCAGCCAGAGCCAAGGAGGAAGGCCAATCTCCTCCTTGCCGCTTGTGAAGGTGGTGCATGTTCCTGGCAAAGGGCGGGGAGGATTCCAGCGATCATCCGGATCTGCCACGGGTAACCTTTTGCCGGAGTCTTCATCTCCCGGCTCACGACGGCTAGGACTCACTGGAAGGCTGATTGGGTGGGGTTCAGGCGTCGGGGTTAGCAAAACCGCCCTAGTCTTCGCCCCCAATCGTGAAGGCTCCTCCAAGCTTCTGATCTGGCGTGATCTGACGGATTTTGTCATTCCGGTCCAGGCGCGACATCAAATCATCCAAACCTGATTCCGGTATGTGCTACACAGCGATGCATCGGCAAAGTTCATGCATGCATGCCTCCCCTCCCCTATCCCGCTGCGACCGAAGAGCGCTCCTGAATGGAGAGCTTTGTGTTGCAGTATGGCAGAGACAACGCCTTTTGCGATGCCACAAAGTGCATGTCTCGTTGACTTAGAGTAGCGCAGCATGCCCCTAATTTCTCCGTCCCTCCAGCAAGTACTGCAACATGCTGACCTGTTCTTCTTCACGGTGGCTGCATAAAACCCGTGTTGAAAATTGAGATCTAGTCACGTTTGCTGCTTCCAAGCTTTGCTCGACGCTGCCGTGTCCTACCCCCCTCCAGCCTTGGGGTCCACGCAGCCATGCCAGTTGGGCGTGGGCCAGTCGGCCGAGGCCAAGGTGGCTAAAGAGATCGCTCCTAGGATGAAGGGTCCAGCAGCTTTTTTTTCCCACCCGCCCAGCAGCTTTTTTAGGGTTTAGGGTTTTAGGGTTAAGGGATTTTATTTAAGTTTGCTTAGCACGCACCAGGCCTTCTTAGGCCTTGCCGCTCGGAGACTGGCTTGAAAGGCCAAAATCTGTTCACGATTCACTAGCCAGGTCAGGGTCTGTGCTTGAACGTCTCAGATCAGACAGACTTCAACCTCAGGTCCCAGGCGAGACTCCGAAGCTCCGGAACATGGCAGGCAGCGTCTATGCCGGCACCAAAGAGCAACAAAATCTGCGGCGTGCATTTCTTGATTGATGTTCAGCATGCTAAATCTCATGCAAGGCTATTCTTCGATCTCAATACAATCAAGAAAGTATAGGGGTTCAGTAGTCAAGCTTTGCGGAGCAAGATCCAGTGCAGCCGTTGCGTCGATGGCGGGCTGGGGTGCACCAGGGGCACGCGTTGGCGTGGCCACCCGCTGGAGAAAAGAACCTTAGAAAATCTGCTAGGCCATGCTTCAGTGGCTGCGACACTCAGCCGTCCCTGCAATGCGAGCAAGCAAGGCAGCTTTCCCCGACTAGAAGAGAATCCAGCCACCGGTGGAGATGCCAACAAGCTGATCCACTGAAAACCTCAATGCAAGCAAGTTGGAAAGCTGGCACTGTGCTGCCGGGGCCCTTCCGCCCAAATGCAGTTTACTCCCCCATTGTAGATACTGAGCGGAGTACATCGTCGACAAAAAAAGCTTGGGCAATGGAGCCTAGTCCGCCAGACAATCAGACAATTGCCCACGTAACCAATCAGAAAAACTCCACTGCAAACAAGCGTCACCAGGCGCTCGAAGTTGACATCAATGCCTGAACATTAACTGCCTTACTGTGCCTCGACTGACACGGACAGGAATAGAATCATAGCTGAGCAGCAACACCGACACAGCAATGTAACAAAACAATACGAAACGATAGCCATCTGCCTCATCTGCCCTTCTGCTTTCGATGCTCTTCTTGCTCTTATCCTACGGCAACCCTAATCTTGAAACTCTCCTACATAATCCTGCGGCGTGGTGCTTCTCTGCGTAATGTTTCACGAGCGCTCTACATGTTTCTACGTACCCCACCAGCCTTGTATCATCGCTCCTTCTGATAAGATTGCCGCAAGCACTGCCGAAGTGATACTTACCACTGCTACGACAACATCTGCTGCTGCTGAGGCTTCCCCGTTCTACTGCGATGATCATTTCCTTTTTCGCCTGCTGCAACCTTTTGCTGCTGCTCCATCTACGACGACGACAAAAGTTACCACCACCATTCACCACCTAAAGACACCAGCGCATTCCGCCCCTCCCTTCTCTACATGCTCGCTACCCCAATGCCAATACTTTTGGCTACTGCTTTGCATCTGCGGCCCAATTGCAACAGACTCAGACAGATAGTGTGAGCATCCGTATGCTGATCCAAGGCACGGTTCCCACAAGTGTTCACCACGCCAGCTGCATTCACAGATCGCAACGGAGCTGCAGCAAAAGTGCCGACAACCCGAAGATTGCCTTTCACCTGAAGCAGCGCTTACTTGCTGCAAGATCCGGTGTCCAAGTGCATCTCACAGCGTGCGGCGACGGAAGCCTACACCTGTGTTGTTTGTTTTGTTTTCTAAAACCCAAGTGCATCTACTACCCAACTGGCAGCCAGTCACAAGCCCGAGCTTCTGCACGATGGGCGACTGGTTCTCGAAAATCTTCGACCTCGTTTCGGGATGGTCTGCGGTTTCAGGCCCCTCTCACACTCGCCCAGCTGTTTTACAAACTCGCGTGGATTGGAAGGGGAGTTACTCCAAAAAGTCTTGCCCCGCCTGGCTGTATGCATCTTGGACAGGAAACCGTCCCCAAACCGATGACAAGGATGCCATGGCTTCAATCTTGTTTAGGGTTTCGGGGTTTAGGGGTCTAGGGTTTAATTGAACTTGCCTTCTTCCATCCCATAGCAGTCAATCCACGAGACATCGATCGGCTGGTAGACCGGGCCCACAGCCAGGCCCAAAGGTAAGTTGGCCAATCCAGTGATCTCCGGTGCATCGGAGAAGAGCAGTCCTGAGGCAGAAAGATTAGTAGTCTGATATGGCATAATATAGTAATTAGTAATTGGTTAAGGCAGAAAGAGTAGTAGCCTGATAAAGCACCTTATAGTAATATAGCAATATAGTAATTAGTAATTGGTTATAGAACCTATAGATACTACAGTTAACGGTTGGCACCTGAACAAGGCAGCAAGCTTGCTGGAAGCCGCCATCATGCCTGCAAATATGTCGGAAGCCTGTGGCACGACCGGACTCTCGACAGATCTGCACTCCAACAGTGCTCTCGTAGATACCGGGCGTCGCCATTTCCCACTCAACTGCTGCAGTTTGGCAGGATCCTGCCAGGGACTCGCCAAGTTCCATTGTCGAGAACCGACGTTTGCCATGAGCCCCATGTGATGAGATGCTTGTTTGGGCACCAATCCTGTAGAATGTTTTTCTGCCGGGCAAAACTCGCTTCCAGCCTGGTCATGACAGGAGAGTGCAACTCTGCCCGGAACGGGAGCGGGACGGTGACTGCACTTGCGGCATAAGGCCATGGCACCGCTGTAAGTTATAGAGTTGCCAGGGAGATGACACAAGTGCAAACAGACAGACACAGAGACACCGGCACAGAGTTTCTGTTCTTGACGGGAATAAAGCTTAAAGCTCGTAGTTGTTGCTGTCAGGTGGCCTCTCAGCAAGGCTCGTCAGCTCCTCAGATGCACAGCACCGGACCGGGCAGATCGAAACTCAGCTCTTTACGCTCAGAGCCTTTCTTCGTGTTGGTAAGGGCTTTACGCTCTCACAACTCGGACAAGCCAGGCGAGGTTCTTGGTGCGAAGTCGGAGTGAAAAAGGAACACGACAGCCCATCGAAGGACAAAGCCAAAACCCAAACCCAAATCTAAGAACCAATCCACCCCGAAGGGAACAAAGCATGGGTGATGGGGGTCAAGGCTTTAAGGGTTCAGGGCTGAAAGGGTCTAGTTGAAGTCGTAAAAGCGTTCAGGATTGGAGCTTCATGCTATGATTCTCGTCCATTCACGTGAGAGAACCGAGACCAACGATGCAGAGGGAGCCGAGCAAAGGCCCGTGTTGGGTTTTCCAGTTACAGCAAGTCTAAACCCTGTTGACCTCAACCGCGGTTTAACTTCGCCACATGCTGAGCATCAAACAGCGGCAAACTTCTGACCTACATCGGCTCCATATTTGCACTACTGGTAGTAATGAAACCCGCTACACCAACAGTGCATATGATTTCCGCGGTGATGACTGCCACTGTTAAGGATAACCGAAAACATCAAAGACACTAATTACCGAACGGAGACATAGCAATGACGGTGAAAGAAGGAACGACTAGCAGAAACGATCATGCTACTTGTAACAACAGCAGCCAACATCGTCACAGGAATGAGAAATGCGTTGTAACAATACATGGACATGCAGTTACAGCTCTCACTCCGAAGAAAACTCCGCACTTTCTGTCGGGACTCTTTTGCTGTTGCTGGATCGAGATTGACAGGTGTCAAAGGAGCTCCCGCAGCATCGAGACGAGCAAGGTCGACCTAAGTGCCTTAATCCGCGTTCCCAAAGGCAGGCCGTGATAATTGGCAGAGACCAACCGAACCCGACGGAGCATGTCTGTTACTTTCATGTCTTCATCGTAAAGACTGGAAACCTGCTGAGTGGTATGAAGAGGAGGAGCAGTATGAAGAGGAGGAGGAATAGTAGTAGCAGTAGTAGTATGTAGTCGTCGTCGTCGTCGTCGTCGTCGTAGTAGTAGTAGTAGCAGTAGTAGTAGTAGTAGTAGTAGTAGTAGTAGCAGTAGTAGTAGTCGTCGTCGTCGTAGTAGTAGTAGTAGTTTTGTCACCCACTTGGCACGACTGTGTCA